AGGCGGCACTGGCCCCACGAGAGCGGTAGTGAAGACGTCTCCCTCCCTCCCTCCCCCGTCTACCACAAGCACCACGACCGACCTGGACGGCGTCTCGCTGACAACTGACTGCCCCTTCCTCCCTCCAGCCCCTCAACCATCATCACACTCGATTCCATACGAGTTCTCTCGCCTCGCAAGACACACACCTCTTCACTACGGCTCCTTTATGTTTGTTTGGCCCCGAGGGGCGAGTTTATTGGGCAGCGTCACTCGCCCTGTGAGTGGACACGCCGCCATAGTGACAGTATTGGGCAGCGTCACTCATCCTGTGAGTGGACACGCCGCCATAGTGACAGTATTGGGCAGCGTCACTCGTCCTGTGAGTGGACACGCTGCCATAGCAGCATGTACAACACCCTCCAATAGGAAGAAAACCCGCTGGGTTGTTCATCTTGTCACTGCTCTAGGTACACTTTCTGCTTGGGATTTCCAAAGGTGAGGAATGTTGGAAGTGAAACTCTGATGAGGTATAAAATTGTTTACATTAAGCGTTTACCGTTGGTTGAGGTGTACAGCCAGGGAGCGTATCTGTCAGCCTTATCACCAGTGCAAGATAAGGAATTCGCAAGGCATGCGATACGCGCACGTGATAGTGAAGCTGTCGCACCCTCAGCCCCGTCGAACCCACAGCCCCGTCGCACCCACAGACCTGTCGAACCCACAGCTACGTTCCTTATACTGTACTGGTAGTTTGGGGGAAGGGGCGGCCTTCTGGTGCCTAATTTGCACAGGTTCGTCTTCAAAATAGAGACAGAGTGTAGCGGAGCGTGTCCCAGATCAGGCCGGCCATGGGTGGGGGGGAAGGTTGAAACCAGGTGTGAGGACTTGTGAAGGTGACGTGTGTATTACCATGGCGTATTAATTCTGGCCCATCACCGAGCCATCGTGGATCATCTCTCTATGCTCCCTGTCCCTCAGACACCCTCTTCCTATGCTCCGTGGGTCCCATATGACCTGTGGGACCATGTTGTGTCCCTATGCTCATGTCAGGACTCATGGGTGCCAACGACTCCGCCCAATACAGTCACTCCGGCACCTGGCCAGGTACCACACAGGTCTAACGTGGGACAGGCACGCCAGAAGACCCAAGACACCTCTGACCAGCATGAGCGAGGACACAGTCTGGACCACTACCCCGAGGGACTGCCCATTTATAACAAGAGTATGTGGTATAATATACCCCCACATTATTTGAGTTAGTAAAGCATTTTTGTCGACATATATCGAGTAATAATATATGTTGCTCAAACGGTTCCCCCTTTTTCCCAACTTTGCGTTCTCTAGATAACGTAACCTTGAAGGTTGTAACAGTCAATCCCTACTTTAGACAGACAAGTCCCAGCAGCGTCTGGGTACAAGTGACAGGAACAACCCAGTGGGTTTTCTTCCTATTGGGGAGTGGGGTTGTAAATGCCCATGTGGGCTGGCCTTATATACCTAATCTCTAGTCGTGTCCACTCTCCGAGGCAGTCTTGGTAAGAGATGCCTCATCCTTCGTCCTCATCCTCTTATAGACTTCCCAAGACATTGTACAACACGGTCACCAAAATCCGTCATATTAAAGTCACAATCTACTATTAATTTTTATAAGGCAGCTCTTCCATACGTGAAGCCATGAACCACAACACGTCCTCTGTCCACACACTGCTGCCTGTGATTCTGGTCTTGGCTAATCTCACTCAACCTCTTCGTGGTCGACTTTACTGATACTGTTATTAACGAGAGGGAGCTGGGTAATGTTAATGAGGCTCTAGGGTGGAGGGGGGGGGGGTTATGGGCCATATGAGGAATGACTGTTGGGCGCTAGAGAGAGTGAGAGGTGAGGTGAAGGTCAGCCTCTGGGAACACGTGCTGAGTGGGTGGCCGGGTTGTGGGTGGCCGGGTTGTGGGTGGCCGGGTTGTGGGGTGGGCCGGGTTGTGGGGGGTGGCCGGGTTGTGGGGGGTGGCCGGGTTGTGGGGGGTGGCCGGGTTGTGGGGGGTGGCCGGGTTGTGGGTGGCCGGGTTGTGGGGTGGGCCGGGTTGTGGGTGGCCGGGTTTTGGGGGGGGGTGGCCGGGTTGTGGGTGGCTGGGTTGTGGAGGGGGTGGCCGGGTTGTGGGTGGCCGGGTTGTGGGTGGCCGGGTTGTGGGGCGTCTTCCGCATCTTACACCTTACAGGGAAGATCTTGAACATCTTCCCAGACTCCCAGATTCAATAACACATCAAGCCGGTTTACTCACGAGTACGTCTTCCCAACACTACACATTATGTGCACAACATTGGTGTAGGTCAAGGTATTGACCGCGTCCGGTGCCTCATTGTGCTGCCACCACCTTGACGGACACCTGCCAGTAAGACAACCCGTGAACGACCCTCCAGTGCCCTCCCCCTTCCCACGTTCCTCGACTACCCCTTCCCCAACCCCTACCCACCAACCCCCTCTCCTCCTCCCCGCGCACATCCCTTCAACATATGGGCGAAGAGAATCAATAATAACGCTTCAATTTCCCGCCCATGGTCCTATTGGTGGCTCCCTTGTCTTGACCTCCGGCCTGGGTCTGGTGGCACGCCCCCTCGACATCACCCCTGCCCGCCCTCACCCGAGCCTCTTCAACGCTTGCAACACCTCACACAAGAGTCAACAAACAGCCCACTTGCGTGAGATAATGGGCTCCGAGCTGCACCTTCCCTGTCATGCAGCCGGGCCCGGGGAAAGTGCTCCACCAGCTGCCAGGTTTCAACACCCCGCGATGTGCCCGGGTAACCCATACCTGGAGCATACCTAAAGAGGGTTTCTGGAATTCTTATCGACTTGTGGTAACTTGGTCCAACAAGGCTGTTGATTGGAGCGGTCCGCAGGCCCACATATCCACTACAGCCTGGTACTTCACCCAAGAACTTGCCTAAGTGTATATAGCCATGAGCCCGCCTCCCAACACCCGCGAGAGGACGAAAGCCAGGTGACAGCCTCCACGCTTGTACCAGCCGGCGCCGTGTAAACACACTCCGCGCCGCCCCTCAAGTGCTTTCCCCTCTTCTACAATTTTAAACTAAATGTCACCCAAAACATCCAGTAATGTAGAAATCTTTGAGTGTAGTGTAATCAAACATGTAGCACCGTGCCAGCTAGACACAGAGGAACCTACACACGCGCGTACCAACCCCCTCACAGTCATCACACCAGGAGAAAGTCGAGTGTAAAACACAGCCGGGTCGTGTGGCAAGTTTCCCTAAAAGTGGCGTAATGGGGGAACACTTACTCCCCTGGGCCGCGCGCGCCAGTGTCTTCACCAGTGTGTCTACTGTGTTTGACCACACAGTCACGTACCTCCTGCTGTTTGGGAAGCCTCAAGAAATATTGCCGGAACAACAGTGGACATTTTCAAGAGTGCCGGACCAACCGGGCTGTGGTGGGTATGTGGGCCTGCGGGCCGCTCCAAGCAACAGCCTGGTGGACCAAACTCTCACAAGTCAAGCCTGGCCTCGGGCCGGGCTTTCTGTTCTTCTCCCGGGATTCGGGAGTAGAACAACTCCCAGAACCCCATCAACCAGGTATCAACCAGGTTCCGCTGGATCACTGTACTCAGGTGCCTAATTGCCAAGTACCTATTTACTGACAGGTTAACAGGAGCATTAGGTAAAAGGAAACTTGTGCCTGGAGATTAAACCAGGGTCTTAAACCGAGAACGAAGTCCACTGTGCTAACTACTTGCCAGGCAAACCCCCCCCCCCCCACACACAGGGACGGTTGAGAGGCGGGACCAAAGAGCCAGAGCTTAACCCCCGCAAGCACAACTAGGTGAGTACAACTAGGTAAGTACACACACACGTCACATTAACGTGGCTGAAGATGGAGAATCTACGACGTTTCGGTCCGTCGTGGACCGTTATCCCGTCGTCCTCACACACGACTTATAGTGACCCACGACACACCGACACGTCGTCGTTCCTCCCTCTTCTAAAGTGTGGTTCAGTCATCACACAATTCTAACCTCAGCTCTTGCCGCCAGAGGCCACTAGTTCAGTTTATTGTGCACCCCATACTTGTCCCGTGAGCGGTAGTTTATTGTGCACCCCATACTCGTCCTGTGAACGGTAGTTTATTGTGCACTCCATACTCGGAGACAAACACGTTAGTAAATAATCAAACTATTTATTGCTAGCAGTGAGGGAGCCAGAAATAATTAAGCTGTCTACTTCAGTGTTGTCAATAATTGTGAGGGTTACCAGTGCAACTTGTCTTCCTCCATGTTCTAATGGACCTATTCAATACCAGACTTGTATTACGTAAGATGTTACTGGTTGACAAGAGTAGCAGTTAATATCTTACTTCCTCGAGCAAGTCTCTCGTTATCATTGTGATTGACACGGGTTACGCAACACGTAAATATAGTTAGTTTTATGTACACACGCAGATAAAGACAGTTTATTAAACATAGGTGGTACACGCACAAGGGGAACATGGGTGGAAACTTAGTACCCAAATGAGCCACAGAGACGTTATAAAGAACTTTTTCAACCACAATCAAATATCGATATCGAGTTTGTGGTTTATCAAATCGGGGTCGTTCATATCCTTGATGAGGTGGTTCTTCTCCGGCCCGGACCACGGCGGTCTCCGGGGTTGGAGGTCCCTGTGCCATTCTTCACCACCATCGAGGTCAACCCCGGAACTCTCAGTTCCTGCGACGGCCCTGGAACCAATCGTATTGGCGTTTGCCTTTCCATTGGAGACTTTCAGCGCCGTGGAGTGGGGGGGACCTGCTGCATGGGTAACAGCTTCTCCTCCATATCAACCTACCCTGGCTTTGCGCCCTGGAGAGGCCACTCCAGACCGACAACCAGAGCGCAACTCCATAGTCTCCTGTGACTGATGGATGCTTACTACTATCAGTGTTGACGGAGCCTCAGCGCAACACTCTCAAGTTATAATTGAACAGTTTACCTTAAGACAAAGTGTATATACAATATATGTACTTACTGGACTTCTTTGGTTGAATTATTTTGTCTTCCTCGTCCAGCTGATCTTCTCTCATCTTCCAGCGACGAACCTGTTCCTCCCGCATCTTGCAGAAGAGTATCTGTTTCTGATCCTCGTCCAACTCCGCGAGGAGTTCTGGGTCGATGTACATATCGTTGAGGATTTGCTGAAGCATCTTGAGAATTTCACTTGTACTTAAAAAACAACGACAGTTAGCCCTGGGTTTCCCTCCTCACAGAAAACGTTCCAGTTTACCGCAAGAGAAAACGTAACTTCGCAATGTCTATCAGGAGTAACTAAACAAAATGCTCTCCGCACCGGAACACTGGTGATCGCCCGAGGTATACCAATATTTGTTTACTCTTAGAACCAATTGTCATCAGTGTGTTCAGTGTGTTCGTGGAAGAAGTAGTTGAGGGAGGGTCCCCAGTCATCCATGCTTTCCGCCTCCACTCCTCGGCTCAACCTGAAGCGAAAATGGAAAAAATCTTAATTATGTAAATGTATTTAACACGTCTTCATAAGAATACATGTAATAATTAGAATAAAACACGTAAATTACCAAGTAGCCTCAAATTAGCGCCGCGGCAACATGTACATGTCACGTACATATCCAACCCGTCCTCTCAAAATAAGGTTACTTTTCGCCCGTATGTGCGCTATGGCCAAAAACTGACGTAATTTGAAATGAAATCGGCTCACAAAAGTGATGTACTGTCCTGTTTTCTGTTTGGGTCCTCTGGCTTACTGTTAGCTTACGAGAGGAAACTTTCAATTAACGTTTTTCCATGACGTTTTAAAACTTTTCGAGAATTTCCTGACCTCCTAACCTACCAGAGGACCCTTAACTAACCGTTTTGAAAAAAATCCAAAATTTAATTTATTTTTTCATTTTCAAATTACGTCCAATTTCAGCCATACGGGCAAACGGCCAAATTCAGACATAATTATTAAGAGGACAGGTTGTTAAGGAGGTCAGCCAAGGTGGAACTACTGGGCCTTCTCCACGATGCAACCCCCACAACCGTTTCCTAACTCCCGGGGTGAGAATAGCTTGAGCTACCTCATCCCTTTGTGTGTATTTTACCTCAAACTTATTTCAATTTCAACTCCCGGGTACCTATTTACTGCTAGGTGAGCAGGGGGAGGAAGGGTCGCGGGGCGGTGACGGGTAGAAGTGTCACTGTTATACACTGCCAGATGCTGGACAATTGTTGGCCAGTAGTGCTGAGGGGGTAAAAGGTGATGGAGGAGGGTCAGGTGAAGGTGGGGGGGGGGGGAGAGGAGGCAGGGCAAGTGAAGGTGCATCTTGGCGAGTTGGTGAAGGTGAGGCATGGCCGGGAGGGAGAAAGGGAGAAGGTGAGAAGAGGCGTGGTGGAGCAGGTGAAAGTACACGGGCGGTTCATTTCAGGTGAAGGTGAGGAGGGGTGGGTGACACTACGCCCCACCCAGCAGGGACCGGCTGTCACCACAGTGTTTGGTCAAACTCTAACATTCACATCGCTGCACGCCTTGCGGTGCTGCACGCCTTGCGGTGCTGCACGCCTCACAGTACTGCACGCCTCACAATGCTGCACGCCTCACAGTGATTGTAGTCCATATTTTGGAATCACTTCGTGCAAGATGACTTATTGTTGACGCGCATGGACATCCATGTCCGTCCTCGGCCCAAATCCATTACCGTGAAAAACCACACCCGCCTCAAACCACCTGGATCTAGATATTTGGTCTAAAAGCATATTACGGTTCCAGTAATAGTCTACATGTAAACTGACAAAGTGAACCTTTGTCGTAAATAAGAGATTATTCTCAAGTTATAAATTTAGATTAATAAATGGCTGGTTGAAAATATAAAGTGTATGCTGAAAACGTTTTCTTTGAAGAATTTAGTTTTCTGTAGATGAAATTCTCTAATACACTGAAATAGTTTATGAATTCCATGTCTCACATTACCGTTACCTAACTCTATCGTATTAACGTAACCAAACGTAATGAAACCGAACCTAAGGTAACCTTAGCCTAAGTACAGATAGAGTAGATAATAGTACTAATTATGTAGTAGTTTCCAATCCATTCCCTTGAGTGGCTCCCCGCCCTGAGAATGAGTTACCCCAACGCCTGGGGAGCCGGTCGGCCGAGCGGACAGCACGCTGGACTTGTGATCCTGTGGTCCTGGGTTCGATCCCTGGCGCCGGTGAGAAACAATGGGCAAAGTTTCTTTCACCCTATGCCCCTGTTACCTAGCAGTAAAATAGGTACCTGGGTGTTAGTCAGCTGTCACGGGCCGCTTCCTGGGGGTGGAGGCCTGGTCGAGGACCGGGCCGCGGGGACACTAAAGCCCCGAAATCATCTCAAGATAACCTCAAGATAACGCTACACTACTGGGCACGAGTATATAGCGAGGTCAGCATTGAAGCATAACCCCATAAAGCAACCAATAACACATTATTCTGGAGTTTTACGTCCTCGTAACTATCCAGCAACATCAATAGTCTTCCTGGTCAGAGAGTTACAATCCCTCAGGCATCCGTGTTCAGCGCCTCGCGTGAAGGATTCCCGCCCCAGTTCTCCAGGCCAAGCCATCCTGCACTCAAGCGTCTCCCTCGCCTCCTTGTGCTCGCGCATGTGTGGAATCAAAGGAATCTATTACAATTACATATGCACACAGGTGATCAACTCTCTCCTCAATTTGATCCACCATCTGCTGCTGCTACTCCCACCTTGATTTCACCTGTCCAGCGAAAATATAGACGTTCTAGTCTATATTTTATAGACTAGAACCTCTTATTTACAAGTATACTCTAGTATACTTGTAAATAATAATAATAATAATTGCCACGGTGGTGGCAAGTATACTCTATATATAGACGTTCCAGTGTGCATTAGAACGTCTTTACGACGTTCTAGTTATCTAGTATACACTCTTTACGTCAATTGGTGACGTTGGAGATTGGTTCAGTGTTGTGTTGCGTGCATAAATGCGACAGTGTGATGAGGTGGTGGCAAGCATTACAGCGCTGGAAGCCTCAGACTCAACACTGTCACTCTGCACTCAGAGAGACACGAGAGTTAGTCATACCACTCATGATCCCACATAATCCCTGGGATGTGTTAACAATCACTGCGTGTGTGAGAGGAGGCCTGTTTAGTCTTACCCGCGGTGATGCTGCTGTGGGAGAGGGCAGAGGGAAAGGTGAAGGAGGGGAACAGGGAGAGAGGAAAGAAGAGGAAATTTGCATATCATATTCAGAGATACATAGTTATTTACACACTACCTGACTGCAAGAGAGTTGTACAGCAGTGCGGCCCTCCCAGGTGGCGAGGGCCCGCTGACTCCAAGTAGCGGTCCAGGCCACGGCTGTAGCCTACAGCAGTTGCGGCCCGAGATGACGGGCAGCGCAGGCTACTCCACCAATCCCCCCTTATTCTAGTCCTCATTTACCAGCGTGGTGGTGATGGTGGGTGGCGGCGCCCACGCCTCCTGGGAGGGAAGCAACACCAGCCGTGCTCCACCTGCCGCTCTCGTGTTGACACTCGGCAACACGGAACAAGTCAGCACCCTGAGAGGGGTGTGTGGGGGTGCGGGGAGCTCTCCCTACAAGGTGCACTGACTAGACGTCACGATCAGCAATAACCAACAGATGTCGTCTCGCTGAGCCAAGACCAATTAACTGACGTTTCGACCGGAAAGTGCTAACAGTGAAAGTTATGAGCAAGTACCAATCAGCCAAGATGTCATATAAACCATAGCCTAGTAACAAGCCTCTACGTGCGCTAACCAATCAACGCCAAGGATCTCAAACATACCTTCCGATTAGGTAATTATACTCTCAGGGTCAACGATCAGCCGACCCCACTAGCCACCAGGACAGATTTGCGTCACAAATATAGCACTGAACAAGCTCTGAGATAATGAAAAGTGATGAAAGGCTGAGGAGACATGATCACAACATACAAGATACTCACCAGCACCTGTAAGGCGAATCAAGACACTTTGATGGCTGCATGGGACGAAAACGAGCCATTAAGTGGAAACTGAAAATTCATCCGAGCCAAATTCCATACATTGGGTCCGAGATCAGACGAAGATGAGTGTAGGATGGGTCCCAAGAGCTGAAGGCCAACCCACCCATGTAGATAAATGAATCAATAGTTTACACGCCCCGTCAGACGGACGCGTCCATCACTAGACCACTCGTGGTAATTGCACAACAATGATGTATGACTATGGGAGGAGGGGGAGGAGGAGGTGAAGAACGGGAGAGGGAGGGAGCACGTGAGAGGTACAGGGAGAACGGGAGAGGGAGGGAGCACGTGAGAGGTACAGGGAGAACGGGAGAGGGAGGGAGCACGTGAGAGGTACAGGGAGAACGGGAGAGGGAGGGAGCACGTGAGAGGTACAGGGAGAACGGGAGAGGGAGGGAGCACGTGAGAGGTACAGGGAGAACGGGAGAGGGAGGGAGCACGTGAGAGGTACAGGGAGAACGGGAGAGGGAGGGAGCACATGAGAGGTACAGGGAGAACGGGAGAGGGAGGGAGCACGTGAGAGGTACAGGGAGAACGGGAGAGGGAGGGAGCACGTGAGAGGTACAGGGAGAACGGGAGAGGGAGGGAGCACGTGAGAGGTACAGGGAGAACGGGAGAGGGAGGGAGCACGTGAGAGGTACAGGGAGAACGGGAGAGGGAGTGGACAAGGGAGCACGAAACAGTAGATCACACTGGACGGAACACAAACAACTGGTTAATACTGTACTCATCTACCAGCCGCGTTTGCACATGTATGTATGTATTTATGTATGTATGTACTCACCTAGTAGGGATGGATGAATGTATGTGCGTATACTCACCTGACTGTGACCTAGACATTGCGGGGGTTGAGCTTCGGCTCTTTCGTTTCTCAACTGTCAATCAACTGGTGTACAGGTTCCTGAGCCTACTGGGCTCTATCATATCTACGTTTGAAACTGTGTATGGAGTCAGCCTCCACCACATCACTGCCAAATGTATTCTATTAACTACTCTGACAGTGAAAAGGTTATTTCTAATATCTCTGTGGCCAACCCGTCCTTCGTCTGAGAACGTCGCATTTTGACGTATACTTCACCCAAGGCCAAAACTTGTGCTAGAAAATAGCGGCTCGCGAAATTGACACAATGGTCCGTTTTCTGTCCTCTGGTAGACTACGATAAAGGATTTTTAGTACGACACTTTCTTGACGTTGGGAACCCGCAGGAGGACGGGCTGCATCAGGAGCCATTGGGCAATCAGGTACTGGGGAAAGGTATAGCGAGGCCAGGTTAACTAGCTCCAGGTAAACTCCACTTCCAAGTGTGTGTGCTGTCGACGGACTCTTGGGGTCAAGGGTCAAAGCTTCAGTCACACTCTACGAGTCCAGATGAAGTGTAAGAGCTAATTCAAGGTCAGCGCTGGTTTACATTGTCAATGTCAGCACAACGTTGAAAAGTC